TGTGCGTATTGTTCCCTTTCTCTTGCAACTGCGTGTTCATATTCTTGCTGTCTCGTGCGGTCAGTTCCAATGCAACCAACTTCACTCACGGAATGTGCGTCCTGTCCATGCCAGATTGTGACCGTTGGCATGAAACACATCAAGTTCTGGACACAAAAGGGCAACGGGTTTTCCTCAAAGCGCGGTCTCTTTGGCAAGAAGGGCAAAGTGGTGCGTACTTGAGTGTGTGCATGTTGTGTATGTGTGGTGCCCATGGACTTGTGCCCATCATGACGGTAACACGTGTTGTGCTCATATTGACACGTGTTGCGCTGCGATCACCATACAAGGAAACAATGTTGTGCCTCACGTTTGGCGCCAACGGACACACGTACACCGGCTCGTCCTCAGGCATCGTCTGCATGTGCGTAGAACTGACAGAAACGTGCTTGCAACTGCATAAACATGACACTGTGTGCTGCACTTGTGCTCGGGCAATGTCTTCACATGTGCACCTGACTGATCATGGATGATTGTGCTGTTCACCGCGACCCATACCCACTCTCCTCCAATGTGCATTTGTATCTGTGTTCATGTGTGCCTCTGTGTGTGTCTGTACATCTGTGTCTGTGTCTGTCTATATCTGTGGACATGTGTGCCTGTGTGTGTGTGTGTGTGTGTTTGTGTGTGCGTGCGACCGCCACAGCTGGTCCGAGAACACGCTTGAGCGGACCGTCCAGGCGCATAAGGGCCCGCTCTTCGCTATTCACGGTGAGGACATCAGGGTTGTATCGGCTTTGCATGGGCTGGAGTGATGTCTGCATTGAACCAACACAAACACAAAAACACACGCGCGCGCGCACGCTCATTCACACGCACGCTCATTCACATGCACATACGCACGCACGCACGCACACACACACGCACACTACAAAACAGCGCTTGAGCAAGCGTTCTTGACTGGCGGCAAGGACGGCATGATTCGCATCTGGGGCCCCGATTTCAAACGCGCTCTGCACGAGTTTAGCATCTCGCAGGACCGCGTCACGAACGACTGTCTGCTCACCGTCGACAAGCCCGCCATTCGCGCCCTCGAGGCAGAGAACGTAGGATGAAGTGTGGGCGTGCGCGCGCCTGTGTGCATTTGCGAACGACGTTGGCTGGTGTATGCTTATGCAATGCACTTGCTGTGCTGATCCCCTCCCCCTTCTCACATGACGGCCGCTGCCATTGTGTGCGTATGCGCTTTGTGTGTGCACCACTGTAGGGCCTCATCTTTGCCGGCACGAGCAATGGCGAGGTGCTCCTTCTTGACGACACCGGAAACATCAAAGTCGTCGCGCAGGTCTGCCCCCCCCCCCCTATGAACCTGTTGTGACCCTTGGGTTTTGTTGAGACACACGCGTGCCTGTGCCTGTGTGTTTTCCTAAAACATACCAGCGCGCGCACCGTACACGCACACATACTCGTACCCGTATGCACACACGCACAGGTACACGCGCATGCGCAACTTACTCACACGTGCGTGCACACATCACACACCAGGGCCACGCTGCCGGCGAGCTGTGGGGACTGGCACCGCACCCAACGCAGCAGATTGTGGCGACAACGAGCGACGACAAGACCCTTCGCGTCTGGGATTTGGATGCGCGCAAGCAGATTGCGCTGCTGAAATTGCCCACTGCTTCCCGCAGCGTCGCCTTCAACCACGACGCCACGCTCGTCGCCGTGGGCTTCAAGGTCTGTGTGCGTGTGTGTGTCTGTGTGCGTGTGTGCGTGTGTGTGTCTGTGTGTCTGTGTGTGTGTGTGTGTGTGTGTGTGTCTGTGTGTGTGTGTGTCTGTCTGTCTGTGTCTGTCTGTCTGTGTCTGTGACTGCATTTATCCGTGTTTTCGGAGCGTGTGGTCGTACACGTGTGCATTTCTTTGATGTATGCGTGTGCTCATGTACTCTCGTACACTCTCGCCCACCCCCCCCCCCGCTTTATGTCTTCCTGTAGAACGGCGCCGTGCATGTGTACGCGTATCCGCCCAAGCCTGGTGCTGCGCCTGTGCATAAGGCCCACCACCGCAAGGAGGACATCTCAGATATCAAGTTCTCTCCAAAGGTGCGCCTTTATGTCTGTTGTTTGTGAATGTGTTTGTTGTGCAAGTACCCACGTGTGTCTGATTACATGTACGTGCGTGTGTGTGTGTGTGTATACATGCGTGCGTATGTATGTGTGTGTGTGTGTGTGTGTACATGCGTGCGTATGCATGTGTGCGTGTGTGTGTGTACATGCGTGCGTATGCATGTGTGTGTGTGTGTGTTTGTAGCTGCTTGTCTGTGACTCCAACCCCCTCCAACTTTGCCCTGACCGTACCTCCATGTTGGCTTGCGTTCAGGGCGACCTATGCGCCGTTGCTTCGCACGACAACTTTGTCGACATCTACCAAATGAGCGATTTCCACCGCGTTGGCGTGTGCAAGGGGCCGTCCAGGTGTGTGTTCCCTCCACACGCATGTGGTCCTTGCTTCATAGTGGCATGCGTGCGTGTGTGCATGTGTGTGTGTGCCTGTGTGTGTGTGTGCGTGCGATAAGTGCTCGTGTCCATTTCCTTCCTCATCTCTTGTGCTATGTACCACCACCAACAACAACAACAACAACAACAACAACAACAACAACAACAACAACAACAACAACAACAACAACAACAACAACAACAACAACAACCATGCTGCAGCTACATCACACATGTCGACTGGGACATGTCTGGGCAGCTGCTAATGACAAATTCGGGTGCAAAGGAACTGCTCTACTTCCGCGCTCCAAAGGGAAAAATTCAGCCAATCTCAAAGTCCGCAGCAGCAAACGTCGAGGTGCGTGTTGCTGTGGCGTGGTTTTGTGTGTGTGTGTGTGTGCGTGTGCGTGTGATAACTGCATGTCATTCGCAATTTGCTTGCTTTCACTCGGCCATCACTAACTGACACACGCTGTCTGCTTGTTTTGCTCCCAATCACTTACTCACATACACTCTCACCAACCCACACGACGCCCGCTTGCTGCGGCTTTAGTGGGAGACGTGGACGTCTGTGCTTGGTCCGTCTGTGATTGGCATTTGGCCACCAAGCTCGGACGTTACAGACGTAAACGCATCCTGCCTCTCACACGACAGGAAGGTCCGTCAATGGAATGCCCGCCGTGGCACATGGAGTTGTGTGTGCATGTCTGTGTGTGTGTGTGTGCATGTCTGTATCTGTGTGTGTCTGTGTCTGTGTCTGTGTCTGTGTGTACAAGCACCATGCATGTGCTTTGTTCGTGGCCCCCGCCTTGGCCTCATCATCGCCGGCTGCGTTTGTCGCTGTTGAAGATTCTTGCAACGGCCGACGACTTTGGGATGGTAAAACTCTTCGATTTCCCGGTCACCACTGCCCACGCCAAGCACAAGAAGTACATTGTGAGTCGCACAACTGCTAAGTTGCCACCGCTCGTGCTGCTGATGCCGGTCCTCTTACTATTCAGCTCACTCATTCACTCCATTCACATCCGATCGCGCGCGCTCACACGAACAACACATGCGTATCTGTGTGTGTGTGTGTGTGTGTGTGTGTGTAACTGTGCACCCTCTTCTCGCTCCCCAAAGGGCCATTCAGCGCACGTGACGAGCGTTCGCTTCACCGCTGGCGACAAGAAGCTTGTTTCCATCGGCGGTAACGACACGTCACTCATCGTCTGGGACTTTGGTGAGGCGCAGGCACACGCAAATCTGGGTTGCGTGCGTGCGTGTGTGTGTGTGTGTTACGTTGTGCTGCGGAAGTGCTGTATCGACTGCCCTTGTGATGTGTGTGCCTGCAACGCAAGCCCTCACAACATCGGAGCCACACTACTCTCACTGTGTGTGTGTGTGTGTGTGTGTGTGTGTGTGTGTGTGTGTGTGTGTGTGTTCAGGTGCCGCGGAATCAATGGCGGATGCAGATGAAGTCCATCATCAGTTCAGTGATGCGTCCGACACGGATTCCGAGGAAGAAGGGTGAGCACAAGTGGCGGTGATGTCACATTTCACACACACATACACACATACACACATACACATACACACACATACACATACACACATACGCATACACACACATACACACACACATACACGTACACACACATTTTATTGTCATGAAACATTGGCCTTCGCTCACACCGCATCAAGTTTTGAATGCCATCCAGTCCAATAACACGTCCCACAATGTCACTCACTCGTTCGCACGTGCACACATACAACCACACATACATGCTCATTCTTCTCTCTTGTGCACACACGCGTGTTCACAGGTATGACAGCGACGTGACACGCGAGCGAAGCATCGACTACACAACAAAGGCGTATCACAGCCGGCAGGACCCGTCTGATCGCCAATCGAAGATTGCAAAGCGTCGATCAAACGCAAAGAAGAACAAGTTTGGCCGTGGTCGTGCCCATGCGGCAAAGTCGAAGCCTGCGAGTGAGTGTTATCAACAACACGTCTTTCTGGCAAAGGCTTAAATTGTGGTGTTGGTGATGGTGTGATTGTATGTGTGTGGGTGTGTGTGTGTGTGTGTGTGTGTGTGTGATTGTATGTGGGTGTGTGTGAAAGCGATGTGACAACGATGTAATTGTGCGTGAAGTGGCGTTGATGTGCGCGCTTCGGTTTACCTTCAACCCTCGACGTTGTATTTGCGTTGCCTTTGCAGTCAAATCCCTGAAGCTGCACTTTATCCACGGCTACCGCGCCTACGATGCCCGCAACAACCTTCGCTTCATTGATCGAGGTGACCTGCATGCACACGCACACACACACACGCAAACACGCACATATGTTTGCATACACGCGAGTTTGCGCATCATGTTACCGTCACGGCATCCAAACTCACCGCCAACGTGCTCTCTTCCATCCTCCTCGCAGAAACGATTGTGTTCCACGCTGCGGGTGCGTGCGTGGTGATGAACATCACAACACGGCAGCAGAAGTTCTACCTGCAGCACACGGACGATGTGCTGTGTCTTGCCGTCAACCCACGCAAGCCCTCGTTCATCGCCACGGGGCAGGTGGGCGAGAGCCCGTCCGTGCACGTGTGGAACGCGCAGACGATGGAGACTGCATCCATCATCTCTGGAGCGCACGACGTCGGCGTCGGCAGCGTGAGTTTCAGCAGCAACGGGAAGGTGCTGCTCTCTGTTGGCGTTGCGGAGAAGCCACGCATCTGCATCCACCGCTGGCAGACGGGTGTTGAGCTGTGCTCGGCACAGACCAACCACCGCATCTTCGTCGCCAGCTTCCGCCCAGACAGCGACGTGGAGGTGTGTGCATGTCTGTGGAGGTGTGTGGAGGTGTGTGTGCGTGTGTGCGTGTGTGCATGTGTGCATGTGTGCGTGTGTTTGTGTGTGCGTGTACATGAGTGTGCGTGTGTGCATGTGCTTGTGTGCGTGCGTCTGGTGATCGCGAAGTTGTCAATTCTACAAGGCACATGTCGCTCGCAACACATTGCCGTACACAAACAAACACCCCCCCCCCCACACACACACACAACCTCTCTCCCAATCTGGCAGTTTGTGACGGCTGGCATCAAGCATCTCCACTTCTGGACCATCACCGGCTCGTCTGTCATCCACAAGCGCGGCATCACGGGCCCGAACATCAAGATGACCACCATGCTTGGTGTTGCTTTCGGCCAGGGCGACGTCACATTCTCCAGCGCCATGAACGGCGACGTGTGGATCTGGAAGGGCACAAAGGTGCGTTGTGTTGGTGCGTGTTGTTGCGTGTTGTGTTGTGTGGTATCGTGTTGTGTTGTGTGTATGCACACACACACACACACACACACACACACACACACAGTGGCTCGCGAGGGCTCCACCACAGCGCACACAGTTTGAAACTTGTTGACGGCTCACATGTTCGAATGCATTACGATTGACCGACATATTGCACCGCCTTCACCCTCAAACTGCGTTTGCATGCTGTTGACTCCCACAGTTGATGAAGACGGTGAAAGCACATGACCGCCCGTGCTTTGCAATGGCGACAGACGTCACGCGCGCGGGGCGACACATTATCACCGGTGGAAAGGTCCGCACATGCCGTGCTGTTGTCAACGGTTGACGACACTTGATTGTGTACACCTCAACGTGCATGTGCGACATGAAGTGAAACAATAACCCACCATTGACACACACACGCACACAAACACACACACAAACACACACAAACACACACACACACAAACACACACACGCACAAACACACACAAACACACACACACACACACGCACGCACACGCGCATTTTCAGGATGGGTATGTGCGGGTGTGGGACGAGAAGATGAAGCAAAAGGCGGAGATGCACCTGCCCGGTGAAGAGCTGCGGTCTGTCTGTCGCGGCGCAAACGACCAGTACCTCGTCGGCACTGAGGGAGGGTACGTCGTGAGAGGGTTTAAGTGTTGAGGGTTATGATCCTGTTTCTTCGCTTCGTTTTGTCATGGATTTGCCCCCACAACGGCACTATTCTAACTGCGACTATCCTCCCACAAACTCACACACACACAATTCACGCACGTGCAACTCACGAACGCATCAGGTCGGTGTACATTGTGCGTCCCGGCACGCAACCGGAGCGTGTGCTGAGTGGCCACGGCGAGGGTGAATTGTGGGCGCTGGCAACAGCGAGCAAAGCCGACAAGGTAACAGTCGAGCGTCTGTGTGTGTCGGTGCGTGTGTCGTGTGTGTGTGTGTGTGTGTCGTGTGTGTGTGTGTGTCGTGTGTGTGTGTGTGTCGTGCATGTGTGCGTGCGTGGCGTGTGTGTCGTGTATATGTGTGTGTGTGTCATGTCGTGTTTGATTTCGCTCACGTTCTTTTTCGCCCCACCAATTGGTGCAGTTTGACTTTGTGACGGCGAGCGATGACAAAACGCTTCGCTTCTGGAAACTGGATCCACCAGCCCTTGCACTTCCCATCATCAACCTTCCTGAGCGTGCACGGTGCGTGCGTATGTATGTATGTATGTATGTATGTATGTATGTATGTATGTATGTATGTATGTATGTATGTATGTATGTGTGTGTTGTATGCTGCCGTCTTTTTGTTCAGCTGCTCCTATCCGTCGTACCACGTCACTCCAGTGGCATGGTATAATGCCCATACCACACCTGCCTGCACCTCATCCCTTCCCCTCCCCCTGCTTCCACACTTCTTCGCTGCCATCAGCTGCGTGTGTCTTGGCCAGGACGACAACCTGTGCTGTGTCAGCCTTGAGAACGGAGAGTTTCTCCTGTTCAACATGAGCAATCTTGATGAGAAACCGCAATCTAAACGCGACCGCGGAAAGGCAATCCGATGCATCAAGTTGAGCCCGGACGAGTCTGTCCTTGCAGTCGTCTCAAACGACGTCGCCGTCGATTTCTACGAGTGCGTGCACACGAGCGTCTTGGTTTTGGTTGTGTGTGTGTGTGTGTGTGTGTGTGTGTGTGTGTGTGTGGGTGTGGTGGTGGTGGTGTGTGTGTGTGTGTGTGTGTGTGTGTGTGTGTGTGTGTGTGTGTGTGGGTGTGGGTGTGGGTGTGGGTGTGGGTGGGTGTGGGTGTGGGTGTGGGTGTGGGTGGGTGTGTGATGCTTTCGTGCACACTTCCGTCACCCCAGCTGTGAATCACATCGACACACCGCGTCTTTCTCGCATCACTCCTTCACCTTCCCACCCCCTCCCGACAATCAATTCACTCGCAGCGTGGCGTCGCTGAATCGACTTGGGTACTGCCGCGACTTGAAGAAGCCAATTGCACACATCGACTGGTCTGAGGACGGAAAGCACCTGCGGGTACGCTGCTGCTGGCCGTGCTTGTTTGTTTGTTGTTTGTCTGTTTGTTTGCTTGTTGAAGTAATGGGCATATCCCACTGCTCACCCTCACCCCCCAGTACTCACACTTGCCAATTTGCCTGCATGCAACGTATTTGCACGGTGCTGCGCGACAGCTGGAGACGTCAAGCTATGACGTCGTCTACGTCGAAGCCCCAACAGGCAAACTCGTCAAGAAGCCAGACAAGGTGCGCGCGTATCTTTCTGTCTGTGTGTGTGTGTGTCTTTCTCTGTGTGTATGTGTGTGTGTGTTCTGCTACCTCGAACATCACTGGAATATTGATGTACTTGTAAACACCATGTATGCACCTCCCCTATGTGTGTGTGTGTGTGTGCAGGTGAAATGGGCGACACGAACCGGGGTGTTTGACGACAACGTGCTCGGCATTTGGCCAAAGGGCGGTGATAAGGTGTGTGTGGTGATGATGACCCGCTTGACTCTGAATTGCTTTCCTCTGCTTTTATGTTCCGCCACTTGCAAGCTTTCACACACACGCACACACATACACACGCACGCACACGCGTGTGCGTCTGCTGCAGGTGAACATCAACTGCGCGGCGCGGTCGACGGCATCCAACGCCGTTGTGACGGGCGACGACATGGGCTTTGTCAAGCTGTTTGCCTACCCGTGCCCAGAATCACACGTGCGTTGCTAGAATTGGTGCCATGGCAGTGTGGATGGTTGTGTTGGATGGCGAGGAGGGAAGAGGGCAGGGAGACTGTGCCGTTGTGGCAGTTTCAGCGCTTATGCACTCACGCGCCCATCACACGCTCTTGCTTCGCTCTCATATTCTCACGTGAATGTATGTGTGTGTGTGTGTGTGTGTGTGTGTGTGTGTGTGTGTGTGTGTGTGTGTGTGTGTGTGTGTGTGTGTGTGTTGGTTTCCAGGCGCGGCCATCCACGTATGTTGGCCACGCTGCCCAAGTTACGAGCATTGCATTTGTCAACAACGACAACTTTGTTGTGTCCACTGGTGGCGATGACAACAGGTGGGCTTGGCGCTCTTGTTTCTCGTAGCTGTGTTTGTGCAGTGGGTGGATTTGGAATTGTGTGTGTGTGTGTGTGTGTGTGTGTGTGTGTCTTTCACATGAGCCTGTGCGGTGATGCAATTGCCAGCTGTTTTCTCCACTCACCCGCCTCTCCCACGCATTCCCTCAACCCGCATCTAACCACACACACACACACACACACACACACACACACACACACACACACACACACACACACACACACACACACACACACACAACACACACACACACACAGTATTCTTGTGTGGAAAACGGCAAAGTCCACATACGGACAGTGACATGCACCAAGTCACGACATTTGCGACTGCTGTCGCTGCTTTACCCCCTGTTCCCCTTCATCTGCTCCTCTGTCTCATCTTGTGATGTCTTTGTGTTGCCTTGTTGCTTGCCCTTCAGCGCGAAAACGCGCCTGTTTTTGTTCACACGCATGTGCCGGTGTGTTCACACCACTGTTTTGGCCAAAAGTACACCATGCAAAGAAAAAGTTCGAGTCAACAAACGCCTCACATGTACGCGCGCGAAGAGGCACACGTATCACGCCTGCACTTACTCACTCACTCACTTCTCATCACAAACACGCACACACAATCACTCACACACACACACGCACATTGACACACGCACACACGCACACACAATGCATTCACGCCTTTATCCATCCTACTCATACAATCGAGGTCAGATAACAAAGGAATCCAAGCACGCAAGCAAGCGAGACTAATGCTGACACGACACGACACATGCACACATTGCTCACAAGCCACACTTGCGCGTGCCATGTCTCGGCGCTCGTTCGCGCACGTCGACATGAGTGCGCACGCACGCACACAAGACGAGCCAGTAAACAATGGTCTCAGTAGCGTGGGTAGGAAGCACACTAGACACGCAACCACACAAGAATCAGCACCACAGCACTCTCAAAAATACACACGCGCCAATCCATACAAAGCAAAGCAACAACACCGACACCACAAGCAATGCGAGAGAGAAAGCGCCGTTGTCTCGTCCACGAGACAAAGAATATCATGACGACGGCCCCGGGGGGGGGGGGATAACACGACAGTAGAAAGAAAAAGGAAAGGGTGATTGATACACAACAGAATCGAGAAAACACAAACACCAAGCGACAATCACAGCACTGCGCAGACCAGGTTACCTTCTCTCACATTGACACATGTTCACACACACACACTCTCTCTCTCTCACACACTCACATGTTCGCGCACACACACACACACACTCTCTCTCTCTCTACGCCTGCACGCCATCGTACTTGATGACGTGCATCTTCTCAAATGCATGCATGCACGGAGCACACGATGTACACGCTGCACACTTCTTGGGCTCCTCCGACAGCGCCGCCATGCTGTTGACGGTGTGCAAGCGCTGGTCGCGCGTGTGGGCAGCAGCGGGCCCGTACAACCGCTCCCGAACAGCGCGGTGACACAGTGGCATCACCACCCAGATGGTGAGAGCGCTGACGACGGCTGCGGAAAACAGCGCCCAACTGCCGGACTCAAGGTCCGTCTTCACATCAAAGCACTTTGCGTCATCACGCAAGCGCGGCCACTTCTTGACGTGAGGCTTGATGATGGCATCGATGGGGTCGCACTTGTCACCAATGATAAACTGGGCAAACTGGCCAATCTCAAGCACAGCCGCCAGGAGGGAGACAACAAACACGTCGAGGCACGACCACGCATTGAGGACCTCCGCAGCGTGGAAGAGGTGGCGCTGCGCGTGTGTTGAGAGCGGGAGGAACCAGATGCAGATGAGGGCGACGAGATGGACGAGCGGCACCGCCAGCGCGAGCAGGAAGAAGAGGGCCTGGATGTAGCGAATGCCAAAGCTGTCCGGCTTCTCCACGGACGATGGGATGGTGGTGCCGATGGTGATGAGGGAGAAGGTGCGGTTTGGATCGTCGCCGTCAAGGCTCATCGCCAGCGCCGCAAGGCCTTTGAACTCAAACGTAAACGCGTCGATGGACGTGCCGACAGAGAGGAGGACGATGCTTGCAAGCAACGCAAAGACGACGAGGACGGCGCCCAGGACGGTGAAGCGGTACATTTCGCCCGTCTGCGCGGTGAACGTGTGGCGGGAGAGGGACTGGTTCTCGCCGTCGTCATCGTCGCGCTCGTCATAGTGCCGGCCGCCGTGGCGGTGGTAGTCGACGGCGGTGCGGTGGATGTGGAGGATGATGTGCGACATGGTGAGGGAGACGATGGTGGCAATGAGGAAGGTGTGGATGCCGCGACCGGGCTGGACGAAGATGTCAAAGGAGGCGAGGCCGGGCTCGTCCACAAGCTTGCTGATGTCGAGGTGGAAGCGGAAGGCCACGATCATCATGACCAGCACAAAGCTGTCGATGAGAGACCACTTGCCAAGCGCATCGAGCATGCGCAGGAGAAACTCGCGGCGAGAAACAGAGAGCCATGCCGTGGGCAGCAGCCACGACGCAAGCATGAGCATCAGCTTGAGGTAAGGCCAGCTCCCGGAGAAGGCGCCAATGAGGAGGGAGAGCGCGTACACCTTGGCGTTCCACATGTCGCGCACGCTGTTGGTGAGGTCGAAGGAGAAGAGCGGGCCAAACTTGATCACATCATCGCCGAGGGTGATGGCGGGGATGACAGAGGCGCCCACGCTGTTGTTGGACCAGATGAAGATGGCAACGGTGGCCAGCAGCACGAGCGGCACCGAGTAGCGGGCAAAGGTGGACACGGTCGGCTCCAGGGCCAGACAGGGGGCGGCAGAGGACGTGCGGTCGATGCGACTGGCCAGCAGTGCCGTTGCCTCGCCTTCGTCCTGCTCGTCGGCGAAGGTGGCAAACGAATCCCGGCTGCTGAGGCGAGCGGCGCGACTGCCAGCAACACCGGCGCCATTGCCATTGCCAGCGCCCACACCGTTGCCGTTCATCGCCTGTTGCTGCTGTTTCTGCTGCTGCTGCTGCTTGCGCTTCTGGTGACGGCGCCTCTTGGCGTACTTGCGGCCGACGGCAAACAGGGCAATGCCAATGAGGATGAAGATGAAGCTGGTGCCAGCAGAGGCAAGGTACCCTGCGAGCGCCGATGCGTCGAGAGACGAGGGCTTGGCCACAGGTGGGCAGGTGGCGTTGTTGATGGCGGCAGAGGCAGCGACGTTCACATCGGGGCGCACCACCTCCATAAGCACGTAGTTTACGACGTCACCAATGGCCTTATCGTACGCAGCAACAACCACATCGATGGTGTTGGTGAGGAGGAGGTCGATGTCTTGCTCCGTGGAGCCAGCGCCGGCCAGGATGGCGAGCTGGTCGACCGTGAAGTCAAGCAGCAACTGGGTGACGTTGACGTCCGATGTTGCGGCGAGAAGACAGTCGATGTTGAGGACGCGGGAGGATGGTAGGCCGTCGAGTGTTACCTCGTCCAGGGCGAGGAACATGTCTGCAATGAGGTCGACGTTGTTGAGGTCAAAGACGATGGTGGCGCTCTCGTTCAGCGGCTGCGTGGACGTGGATGTGTTGACGACAACAGAGACGGAGACGTTGAGGTCGAGCGTGCGCAGGTCAATGTTGGAGAGCAGGCTCGTGTTGTCGTGCGGGTGCAGCACAATTGTCTGGTTGGACCACGAGTCCAGACCGCCCACAGCAAACTCGCTGGCGGCGAGGGTGATGCTGCCGAGGTTTCCCAGCGGCACGTGCACAGATGCATTGGTCAGGGGCGCGGTGATGGTGCCCGTGCCATTGGTGAGGTCGTCGACCAGCGTGTTGATGGTGTTGTCGTAGAAGCCCATGTCAATGAACGACGAGAGCACCTCAATCAGCGGGCTGTGTGTCAGGTCGTCCGCGCCTGCATCGTGTTGGGTGTGCGACGTGTTGCGTGGTGAGCGCAGGGGAAAGTATTATATGTGTGTGTGTGCGTTTATGTTTGCGTGATTTTGTGTGTGTGTGTGTGTGTGTGTGTGTGTGTGTGTGTGTGTGACTGTTGTGTGTGTGTGTGTGTGCAAGTGGGCATAATTATCGTGCATCACCACCACCAAAACCACCACCAAAACCACCACCACCACCATCATCATCATCATCATCATCATCATCATCATCATCATCATCATCATCATCATCATCATCATCATCATCATCATCATCATCATCGCCCGCATCGTTGCATGTGTGTACCTGGGGGTGCCGGAGGGGCCGGGTAGTGGGTTGGCGGGTTGAGCATGGGCCTGATGCCTGCTGCGACCTGCTGCACGACGGCGGTGAGGTTGTTGGCGATGAGGGACCGAAGGGTCTTTTCCACCTCCTTGTTGACGGTTGGCGTGAGGGCCTTGTCAATTTCGTTGAGGAGTTTGTTGATGGCATCGGGCGCGTCCTTGAGTTTCAGGCGCGTGGCCAGGTTCACGTCGAGCGTGGTGGGCACGACGGCGTAGGGCAAGCTGTCGTCGTCCCACACAATGTCGATGGCGACGCCGATGCGGGATGCCGGGGTGAGCATGAGCTTGAGCGGGCCAGAGACCTTCTGCTTGAGCAAAGTGACTGCGTACACGCCATCGCACTGGATGCTGAGGCCATTGAACCCGGCGCGCAGCGTTCCGTTGTCTGCGCTGGAGGAGATGGTACCGAGAAGCAGGTCTGTGCACGACAGCTGGGTGAGGTTGAACTTGCCGATCAACGGCACAGGGAGGGAGATGTCAGGCACGGGGATGACGAGATCATAGAGCCACCGGCGCAGCGGATCTGACGGCGCAGGCGGCGCTGTTGTTGCTGCCGTCGTGGTTTTGCCAAGCTGCGCTGCCGTCGTCGTCGCTGCCGTCGTCGTCGTCGTCGTTGTCGTCGTCTGTGCGCCGTGGGCATGCGTTGCACACAGCAGAAACAACGGGCACGCAACGAGCACGACGACGAGCGCGAAGATGGAGAGTATTGGCACCCTTCTCGAGTGGCGACGACGTGCTGTCGCGGTTGTTGTCGGTTGTTGTTGTTGTTGTTGTTGTTGTTGTTGTTGTGCTGCTGCTGGTGATGGTGGTGGTATTCTTGTTGTTCTTGCGCTTCTTGTTCTTGGTCTTGGTGTTGCTCCTCCTCGTCCTCCTCCATCTCCTCTGCTCTGGCCGGCTGTTGGCGCCATGGCTGCAATGCTGGTGGTGCAGCACATGCACATGCACATGCACGGGCGAGAGATAACACACACAAGTTAACAAAAAAAGCGGAAATGAGTGTGAGCTGGCGTGGCGGCGGCGGTGATGCTCGGCAACGAGAGAGCCAGCACGCAAGCACACAAGCAAGCGAGCAACGTCGTTTACATCAAACGAGAAACAAATCACATCACATCACACAACCATCACCAGTAAGTACCACACACACACACATGGCGCACGCACACACACACCCACACACACAAGTTCTTCATCATTAGTCCTGGAGACTGGAGGGCAATGCAACCCACCAACCACACGAACGAACCGTTCTCTTTTTTTTCTTGCTCGCTTGCTTGCTTGCTTGTTCGATCGAGGCGAGGAGCGTGGCTCGCGTAGCCCAACACACACTCGAAAACACCACACACAACACTCTCACAGCAGCCTGCAACACGGCTTGCTTCTTGCTTGGCTGGCTTCTTTCGGCTGTTTTGTGTCGAGTCGATCAGGTGATTCATGCGCGGGCACTTCGTACGCCCCACCAACTTATTTCAGTGTCCAGTGAATCGACTTAGCTCAGTCTCCAAAACGGGCACTTGGCACGCCCCCTTTATCAGTAATTACCGAAAGATATGTTTAAAAATTCCGGTCAAAGTCCTCTAGACGAATATGTGAAATCATTAACAATTTTTCCGCTTCAGCGGTGACGACGGCAAAGAAGTGGGTGGGTCTGGCGACCGCGATCGGCCAACTGATACGGCTGAAGCAAGCAAGAAGCAAGGCAAGTAAAAGCATTTCCGCACAGCACAGCACAGCACAGCGCAGACCAGCAACCAACACCCCCACACCCCTATCTCCATCCACACACACACAGGAGCGCCATGATGCGCGGCACAAGCGCCACGGCAGTTACTGTGGCCGCGACCCTGTTGTTGGGCGCCTGCCTTTGCGTTGCAGGCGAGCGGCTGAACCAGCATGTCTCCAACTACGCCGGCATCAACATCCACCCGCAGCAGACCTTGTACCAGGGTCGCTACACCCGCGAAACCTACCTCCACGACCAACTGTTTACCCTCAACATTGCCGCCTTTGACTCGTGCGTCTGGTGGCATGTGTGTGTACGTGTGTATGTGTGGGTTTGTTTGTATATGTATGTGTGGGTTTGTTTGTGTATGTATGTGTGTGTTTGTGCTTGTGTGTGTGTGTGTGGTGAGGGGAGTGTGGATCTGATTCTGTGGCGTTGTGTTTGTCTGTATTGCCTGTCCTGTGTCCGACACACATTGCCATGCACTCACGCATGCACTCACATACATGCCCGCGCTCATCACCCTCAAGGACATTCCGCTTTGATCTTGAGCCACACACGTCCCTGCACTCGCCAGACCTGAAGGCGTACGTGTTTGCCGGCGAGGAGCGCACAGAGGTGTCGCTCGACGATCGCAAGTACTACCGTGGCCACGTCAACTTTAACACGTCCGAGTTTTGCCACTTCCGTGTTGCTGATGATGGCACCGTCCACGGCTTCTTCAACTACGATGGCGACAAGTACGCGCATGTGTGTGTGTGTGTGTGCCTGTTGGCGTGTGTGTGTGTGTGTGTGTGTGTGTGTGTGTGTGTGTGTGTGTGCCTGTTGGCGTGTGTGTGTGTGTGTGTGTGTGTGTGTGTGGCCACGCATGGCACGGCACGTGCGTGGTTATTGCGCACAGCACTTGTACGGATGCGTGGGTGCCGTCGCTGCTGCTTCAAGCAAGCTTCTGATCCGTCCCCCCCCCTACCCCCGCAACGTTCTACAATTGCCTGCTTGCTGTGTGTGTGTGTGTGTGTGTGTGTGTGCGTGTGTTTGTTTGTTTGTTTGTGTTGTGTTGTGTTATCTCGCAAGGTACGCCGTTGATCCGGCCGAGTACCACTTTGACGAGCCGCAGGAGTTCAACCACGTCGTGTACCGCCTCAGCGACCACGACTACGTCAACCAGCCCCAGCTTCCGGCCCACTGCGGCGTGACCAAGGCCATGGCCGACCAGCTCTCCACAGATGAGCAGGACGAGGCGTACTTTGAGCGTGCCCGCCGCGCCGCCTTTGATTCCTCAAAGACCGTCTGCAACATTGTACGTCGCACACACACACACACACACCTTGTGTCTGTGTGTGGGTACGTGCGTGTCTGTGAAAGAGATGACCGTGTATTTAGCCGTGGTTCTGTGCGTGTGTGTGTGTGCCTTCGTTTGCATTTGTTTGCATTTGTTTGCCTCTGTTGTAACTGCAACACAACCGTTTCCCTCACACCCCCCCCGCCTCCACTTTCGCGTGCACCGTGTGCAGGGCATTGTCGCTGACTCGCTCTTCTACACCAACCTCGGCGGCAGCAACGTCGGTCGCACCATCGACAAGATGACCCAGCGCTTCGCCGTACGTCTCATTGCCTCTGCTGCTGTGCTTTGTGTGCGCGAGTGCGTGTGTCTGGGTATTTGTGTTTGTCTCGTTGCGTGTGCGTGTGTGTGTGTGTGTGTATTTGTGAGTTTCTGTGCTGGTATGTGCTTGTTTGTGTGTGCTTGTGTGTGTACAAGGCGTATCCCAGCCCACCACGTGCTGCATCGTGCCTCTGCCTGTCGCCACTCACGTGAGATTCCATCCCTTGTCTCTTCACCCAGAACGTTGAGGAGGTGTATGAGGAGTACAACACCGTGCGCGACGACTCCGGTGCCGCCACCATCGGCATCAGCATCGGCTACCTCGAGGTCTGTGCAGGTGTCTGTTTTTGTGCTTTTGTATGTGTGGCGTTGTGGAGTGTATGGATGAGTCCCGTGGGCAAAAACACCGCTTTGTTCTTGCTGCTACTCATGGTTCGCTCGCTCACTGTATTGACTGCACCACCGCTGCTGCCACTCACACAACAACAACGACGACAACAACAACCACGACGACAACAACAACACAGGTCATTTCCACGCCAAGCAACGACCCGTACAACACGGGCCAGAACTTCAACAACGATGGCTCGGAGTTCCTGCGCTACTTCTCCAAGAACCCCAACGCCGCCAACAACATGGTTGCCTGGGATGACTACTGCATTGTGCACTGCCTCACCGACCAGGGTCAGTCGCACGCTGCCCTACTTGCGTGTGGGGATGTGTGTTTGCACTAGTGTCTGCGCCATTGGTGTGTGTGTGTGTGTGTGTGTGTGTGTGTGTGTGTGTGCGTGTGTGCGTGTGTGTGCGTGTGCGTGTGTGTGCGTGTGCGTGTGCGTGTATGCCCTTCTCTACCTCCACCGTGTTAACGCGTGCTGCTCATTGCTTCCTTGTCCACCTGTAGAGTTCAACGACGGCCTTCTTGGTCTCGCCTGGGTTGGCTCCGCTGACAACACCCCCGGTACGCGCCTCTGTTGGTGTGGGGGTGTGGGTGTGTATGTGTGTGCTTGTGTGTGCGTGATAATCTTGCTGCTGCACGGTACCACTGCGTCACCTCATCATTCTGCCTCCACACCGCCACCCATGAACCATCCCCGTCATTTCATCCACGTTCCTCCCCTTCTTTCCACGACATTAGGTGGCATCTGCCAGCAGGGCGCAAAGCTCTCCGGTGAATTCCTCTACACCAACACGGGTTTCTCCACACAGACAAACTTCGGCGCTCGCGTACGTTTGCCTTGCTTGCAAGCAAGCAAGCTTGATCAACCGTATTGAATGCGTTTGTTGAGTTCACGGTCCTTGCTGCTCGCGGTGCTCTTTTTGTGTCCTCTGTGTAGCTTCTTTCTGGCATTCTCTTTGGCTGCATTTCTGTTCCTTTCTTCCTTCCATCACCCAACAACACAACCAAACCAACATCACCTCACCCGCTACGTTCCCCTTTCAAATCACACACATACACTGCACTGTGCAGGTGCCTGATCTCACAGCGTACCTTGTCATGGCCCATGAGATGGGACACAACTTTGGCTCTGGTCACGACGAGGACGAGCAGACCTGTACGTGCTTATGGTCGCTTTGTTCGTGTTGTATGCCGCCCGTGCTTGTTTGTGTTTGTTTGGCTGGTTGGTTGATTGGTTGGTTGTCGTTCGCACTCAACCTGCGTGGCGTGAGCTCTCATTATCGCTTTTCGCTGCACCTCACACAACACACACACACACACGCCCACATATACCACGTGCAGCTGGCGGACAGTACCTGATGTGGCCCGTCTCTGTCGACGGCACGGAGGACAATAACTACCTGTTCAGCCCGCAGAGCCTGGACACGATTGCTGCCGTGATCACGGCCAAGGGCGGATGCTTCGTGGCGTCGGACGAGCCAACCTGCGGCAACACCGTCCAGGAGGGAACAGAGCAGTGCGACTGCGGATGTGAGTCATCCCGTGTTCTGTTGACGTGTGTGTCTGTCTGTCTGTCCTGTCTGTCTCCCCTTATTGTGAGCAAACGCAAACCAACCCCCTCTCCTCCCCAATTGTTCACTCTACACACACACACACACACACACATACACACACACACGCACACGCACACAAAACACGGCGTTATCCCGCTGCGCAGCCAACGAGGACTTGTGCAGCTCCTTTGACGCGTGCTGCACCACAGACTGCATGCTCGCCGCTGGCAAGGAGTGCTCTCCACAGCACCGCGAGAACGGCGCTTGCTGCAACGACGACTGCACCAAGATCACCGACACCAGCCAGGTGTGCCGTGAGGAGACGGTGTGCACCATGCAGTCCACCTGCACCGCCAACGGCGAGTGCCCGGCCTCCGTTGCCCGCGTCAACAACACCGTGTGCGCCTCGGACATGTTGTGCAACGATGGCGTGTGCGCGCGCTCCATCTGCTACCTGTGGGGTCTGCAGGAGACCACAAACAGCGACAACCCCTGCCTCGTGTACTGCTACAACACCACGCTCGGCACCGCCTCTGCCAAGACCACGGACCAGCTCGGCTCCCCCACCGTGCAGGCGAAGAACCAGGACGGCACTGACTACACCGTCCCCAGCAGCGCCATTGCCCGCGCCGTGGGTTCCCTCTGCCGCACAGATAACGGCACGTTCACGGGCCAGTGCTCCGACACCCACGAGTGCGAATCCAACCGCGGCACAACCTATTTTGACGACTTTGAGGACTTCCTCAAGTGAGTCCAGCGCGCGCGCGTGGGTGCGTGTGTGTGTGTGTGTGTGTGTGTGTGTGTGTGTGTGTGTGTGTGTGTGTGTGTGTGTGTGTGTGTGTGTGTGTGTGTGTGTGTTGGGGCCTTGCCTTGTTGTCGCCCTGCTCGTGCCTTGTCACTGCTATGCTATTGTCTTGCTATTTATTGCCTTGCTCCTTATTGCCTTGCTTTGTGTCCTGCCATGGCCGCATGCTCACCCCCCCCCCACGCCAACCCTGCCGCACATGCCACCAGGAACGCCTCGTTCAACGACCTCAAGGAGTGGGCCCTGCGCACGGACGCGTACATCCCCAACTGGGGCTGGCTCCTCGTCGGCCTGGTGAGTGCTCTCACGTGCTTGCTCTCATGTCCTCCACGGGCCTTTGTGTGTGTGGGGGGGGGGTGCGTGTTTTTACCTGTTCTTGGCTTCGTACACATCACCTACACACTCGTTCGACCCACACACAGCTTTCTTACTCACACTCTCACTAACTTCCACACACACACACACACACACATACACATACACACACATACGCATACTTGCGACCACGTGCAGGGCGTGCTGATCATCCTCATCTCCCTGTGCTGCTGCTTGTCCAACCGGATGGACAAGAGCAACAAGGTAGCACGTGTGCACCCAGACACCAGACGCTAGATCATGCCTTGCTTGCATGCAGTCCCGCAGCCTTTTCGCTTGTCGTCTCATGCGCCGTGGTGGTGGTGGTGGTGGTGGTGGCTGCTGCTGCTGCTGCTGCTGCTGCTAATGGTGGTGTTTGAAATGTATGCAATGCTTGCCTTGCGACTGCTGTGGAACATTCTGTACTGTCCACATGGCATACCTTTTGTAACTTTTTATTGCATGTCGCTTTCTCTCTTGGGTTGGTTGTCAACCTACCTGTCTTGCTTTTCGTGACTTGCGTTGTTGGCTTGTTTGCCATGACACCAACCAATGCGGGCTGCCGTCTCAACTTGTCTTAAACTTTCACGACATCTGACCGACACCTGCATGCGTCCACATCCTACCTGCCAACTGCCACTGCCGCCGCCGAAACACCACACCCACTCGCTCGGCCAACCACCCATTGCTCTTCGCTTGTCTGCTCACGCACCCCGCCCACATTGTCTGCTGCCTCGCCATTGTGCTGCCGTGCAGGTTGTCTGAGCCAGGTTTCAGCCATACCAAACGTGCTGTGCTTTTACTCGCTGGGAGGACAAGAAAGCACCACAACCACCACCCACCCACACACCCACACACCCACTGCATACGCATGTCGCCTGATGTTTGTCCCTCTTGCACTGCCTGTTGCGGCCTTGTCTCTGTCTTTGTTGTCTGCTTGCTCTTTGTCTGCACCCCTGTTCCTTCCTCCTCCTCCATATTCAGTACACCGTTGCTGTTGCTGCTGCCACCGAATAGTGCACACAAACACACGCGCACACACGCACACACACACCACGTTGCCGCGTTCTCTGTCGATATTGCCTGGAATGGCGTCGTGCCGTGACACCAGCACACCACAGCACACCATGTCATCTCACATATCAGAGGTGGTAGACGTGCCGCGTGCCGTGGCGCAGCAGCACCTCCCGCGCCCGCCGCAGCTTGCGCGTCATGTCAATGTTGTGCTGGATGCTGTTTGCGTGTTTGTGTGGCGTGGCGTCGTGGTGACATAAAGTGTTAGGTGCACTGGTTGTCTGTGTGTCTTGTTTGCATCTGTGTCTGTATTTGTGTCTGCACAAGTATGTATGAATGCACACACACACACACACACACGTGTGTGTGCTGAAACTGACCAGGAGATGTTGTTGACGTCCATGTTGAGGAACTTCTGTTCGCAAACGACGGCGAGCGAGAACTTGAGGTCATCAATGTCCATTGCAGAGAAATCGTCCCAGTTCACCGTGCTCGCGACTCCTACCCGTAATCGTGGTCGTGGTCATGATGGGTGAATGTGCGAGAAATCAGAGTGGTGTACGCATGCATGAGCACGTGTGCGCGTGAATATGTGTTCATGAGCGTGCATGCGCCAGGTTGCTTCTTTCCGCTTCAAAGAGGCCCCCGGTCCCCACCTTCTGGGTCGTCAAGAAAGTCCTGCAGCCAAGTGTAGTTGAGCTCGTACGCGTCTGAGAGCGGCTTGGGCGCTGCGCGCCGCATAATCGCTCTGCACGCAACGCAAATTTGGGTGGGAACATGTGTGTGCCGTGCTCTCAACTCACAATAGCACATGCAGGAGGGGCCATACTTGTGTAGATCACACACGCAAAAGCCCACACGCAAGCCCACACACACACTCTCTCACACCCACACTCACACATGTACAATTGCGCACGCGTGCGCATCCACACACACACACACACACACACACACACACACACACACACACACACACACACACACACACACACACACACACACACACACACACACACACACACACACACACACACACACGCACACACACACACACGCACGCACGCACACACACACACACACACACACACGAACAAACGTGCGCAAGCACCCCCCCCCCCCCCCCCTTATCATACACGTGCAAACCACGCGCAAGCGCAACTCTCGCCTTCGTACGCACGTGTGTTTGCATGCCTTGAGCAGCACATCCTGGGTGTGTGACGACAGGCCAAGCGACTTTGGGTGCTGCCGTGTGGCGATGCCTGTAAAGTGACTGCATGATGTGATGATAGAATGATTGAGTTGCGTCGATGTGTGATGCACAACATATGAGCAAAAACAACCTGGTGCGCAGCACATAATTTAGAGTGTGTTGCAGGGGCGGCGCATCGCGCTCCCTCCCTTTCCACGCTCTTCTCGAGCGGGCGTGGTCTCGCGCGATTTGAGATGCAAGACTCACTCGAGATAGACAGCGCCCTTTTGATCGCGAACGTTCTCCCAGCCAGCAGGCAGCTCTGACAACGCACACAACAGCTTGTATAAGTTCATCAATCTAACATCGGCCGTACTTGTGTGGGGCGGGTGGACTGGTGGAAATGGCAGGTGCTTGCGCGTGATGTTGAAAGGAAACATGTCCTTGCTTGTTCGCAGACACGCACAGCATCGACAGCCGTTGACACATCATACCTGGATCCAGTAGGAAGGGGTGTGTCCAGTGCGTTGTCATGGTGTTGTGGCTGTCGAAGCAGACAACAGACAGCGCAGGAACCACAAACAACAACATCCACATGCAGGTTTCGACATCAACGATGGCACGAGACAGGATACCAGAGGAAAGGTAACCCAACACACATTTGCACGCACACACACACACACACACACGCACAGTCACGCACGCACACACACACACGCACGCACATACGCACACACACACAGTCACGCACGCACACACACACGCACGCACATACGCACACCCGCACACACACACGCACTCGCACACACGCACACACATCCTCTCTCTCTCCTAAACTTCACACCCAGAGACAGGCACGTGCACACAACAACATGCACGCACGCATCACGCACTCGATGAAGTAGCGATCGCCTTCCTCCGTGCGGCCAACGGACCATCCTGGGGGAAGCGGGAGACCGTCATCTTGGTCGACAAGTGGGCCGATAAACTCGGCCGGACCGGAGCTGATGCAGTGGCAACAGCAGCAGCAACAATCAACTCAAGGTATGAAAACATGTCTTCGACAACAAGGCACGCAAACAGAACCCCCACCCTGGCACAGAAACACAAAGACAAAGACACGCACGCACACAGAGAGCGACACGCACACAGAGAGCGACACGCACACATGCACACCCACACATGCACACACACGCAACCCAAAGTCGGGCTTGTCTCGTGACATCCACAACAGCCACCAATCCACCCGCCTGCTCCAAACCCCAGTGATGGCCTACCATGTGACTTGCGTGCCGTTGCGAAGCGTGTACTTGAGTGAAGGTGGTTGTGGGTTGCTGGGGGATGATGCGGATGCGTTGCTGTTCGCATACGCGGATGGCAATGGCGGTGTGCGCCCGACCGCTACTCCCTGATCAGCCATACTTGCAAACAATCCTAGTCTCTCGGCTTCTCCCCGAACCACGGCAACAAACAGTCTCACAAAGAGGAGAAAGGCCGCCACGAGCGAACGAAGCTTCCACACAACGAAAGTGCGTTTGACACAAGTGCGAACCCCGCAGTCCGTCTTGTCTGACTGCGTGTATGTGTGTGTGTGTGCGTTTGCACCGCTCAAGCTGTGTACGCGCGTGCAAGAGACAGGCAGGTCTGCGGCGACGACAAGGCGATGGAGAAGAGAGATGCAGATGAGAAGAGAGCGAAGAAGCAAGAGCGAGTGCTGCGTGTATGGTACGATGGCCAACGCCTTGTACAATGAAGGTGGTTGAGAAATTTCATGCGAATCTTTCACAAATCGCAAGAAAGCACAACACAGAACAACAACAACAACAAGAAGCAAGAGTCGGATATGGCCACGCTCAACCCTCTGCCGCAGAGCCTGAAAGGCGGTGCGTGCGACATGCCACCCTTCACGCCCGAGCCGTTGCTTGCTTGTAGCGTGCGTGCCACACATGGTCATGGGCGAACTGTCGCTCACTCCTCAATCACACCAGCTCACAATGGATGCATGAATGCTTCCTTGCTTGTTTGTGTTGGTTGTGATGTTTGTGATGTTTGTGTTGTGTTGTTTGTTTGTCTGTCTGCTTCCTGTTGTCCGTGTTGGTTTGTTTTGCGTTGCTTGATCCGCGCGGGTGTCTGCCACAACACAACACCACGACACAGAATGCGACAAGGCCGCCAAGATTCTGCGAGAGTTCACCATCCCATCCAGCAAAGCTGGCGCCGACAAGCTCATTCCAAAGACGCTGCTGTCGTCATGCAAAGGCCTGGCCATCATCACCGTGATCAAAATGGGCTTCCTCTTCACCATGCGCGCTGGGTCCGGGCTGATCATTGCGCGACTCCCCAACGGCGAGTGGAGCGCCCCTTCGGCGGTGGCACTGGGCGGCATGGGCGGCGGGCTGGAGATTGGCGGCGAAATCACCAACTTTGTCATCGTCCTTAACACAAAGTCGGCTGTCACGGCCTTCTCCAAGGGAGGCAACGTCACCATTGGTGGCAACATGTCTGTTGCCGCTGGTCCTATGGGCCGCAACATTGAAGCAGACGTGTCCATTCGCAGCCCCGCCGCCATCTACACTTACAGCCGCACCCGCGGCCTCTTCATTGGCATGAGCATCGAAGGCTCTGTCCTCATGGAACGCAAAGGCGCAAACAGAAAGTTCGTCTGGATTTGTCGCTGTTTTTTGTTGTGGTGGTAGTGTGTGTGTGTGTGTGCGTGTGTGTGTATGTGCGTGCGTTCTTGTGTATGTTTGTGTGCTGGCTTGCAACAGCACGGACGAGGGCTATGTCGCGGACCTTACGACACAGCCTTGTTTTGGCGCATGACTCTGCAGGATTTATGGCCAGGACGTTCGTGCCAAGTCCCTCCTCACAGGCGTGGTGTGCACACGCGCACGTGTTTGCATGTGTGTGTGTGTGTGTTTGCATGTGTGTGTGTGTGTGCTTTGTATTTGTGATTGGAGGTCGCTGTGCCTCGCTTGCAGTTTTGAAGCAGCATATGCGTACCATCATCCCATATCAACACTGCTGTCACCTGCTGCTCACATTACAACCCCACTACGCGCTGCCCACCATCACCACGTCCACCGCCATCACAACAACCACCACCGTCGACAGTACCCGCCACCACAGGAGGCAGCCAATCTGTATCGCGCGCTGTCAGATGTCAGCGGCGGCACAACAGGTGTGTGTATGTTGGTGTGTTGGGGAAGGGGATGTGGCCTTCATGTCAACAGACAACACGCTGTCCATGTGTGTGCTGCACTCGTGCGATCGACTGCGCAACACACACACACACACACATGCGCCCATATGCACACACATGCACACGCACATGCACACGCATACACACGCATGCGCACACGCGCACACACATGCACACACACGCACACACGCACACACGCACACCGTAACCACGTGGGCTCACGCCGAGGTATCTGGCGTCGACTGCAGCTGTGATGGCCCATCGTGCCTCCAACGCGTTTGAACACGCCGCCCGCGGCCGAAACAGCAGCTTTTCTTCGTCGTCGCGCCGCAACACAGCGTCGTACTCGGGTGCGCATGTGCCCGCTGTCTGCGGTGGCCGGTGAATGGGGTGTTTGGTTGCTCTGCGCTGTGCATGTGTGTGTGTGCGTGCATGTGTGTGTGTGAGTGTGCGTGCATGTGTGTGTGAGTGTGCGTGCATGTGTGTGTGTGTGTGCGTGTGTGCGTGCATGCATGTGTGCGTGAGAGAGAGAGAGCGTATGTGTGTGTGCAATTGTTGTCCTGGTTCGTGATTGTGTGCACGTGTGTACAATGCTCACGCGTTCAGATTGTTTTGGGGTTCGTAACTTGTGCTGCCGATGCCGTTGCAGACGCCCCACCCCGCCCATCCCGCTCGAGGGCCGCCATGTCAAGACTGAAGCAAGGTGCGTGTGTGCATGTGCATACGTTCATATGTGTGCGTGTGTATGCATGTGCATGCGCGTGTGACATGCGCAGGTGTGGCATCTGTGTTGGCATGTTCTGATGCACGTATACAAGTGCAGAGGTTGCGCCTCTCCGCTTGCGTGTTTGTGCGTGTTCAATGCCCTCATCATACGCACGTGCCCATGTCATGTTGACAAGCTCTACCTAACGTGCGTACCCCTCCTCCACCTCGCCTCTCTTCAACTCCAAACACATTCATCATCATCATCATCATCATCATCATCATCATCATCATCATCATCATCATCATCATCATCATCATCATCATCATCATCATCATCATCATCATCATCATCATCATCATCATCATCATCATCATCATCATCATCATCATGCACTGGCTGCGCCATTCGCTCAGGCCTCACCTCTGTGCGCAACAAAGCAAGTAGTAACAGCAGCAGCAGCAATGGCGGCAGCAAGAAGACTGGATTCAGTCGCAGCGACGCTGAGTACGACGACGGGCACACGCCAGCGCACGGGTTCTTCGCGTCTGTGAACAAGCAAGGGTCCACGCGTGACAGGGACCCAGCACCACGCACACGCCGACCAGCAGCAGGGTGGGTCGCAGTCAAAGCGGGGGAGGGGGGAAGGAGGGGGGTAGGAGGGGGTTGGTTGGTTGGTCGTGTGGAGGTTGTGTGTGGAGGTTGTGGTTTTGTGTGTGTGTGTGTGTTTGTGCGTGTATGTGCGTGTGTGTGTGCGTGTGTGTGCGTGTGTGTGTGCGTGTGTGTGTGTGTGTGTGTGTGTGCATTTCAATGTGCGGCTGTGATTTGCACTTTGAACGCCACTGTCATCGTTTCATGCCGCTCCTTCGCTGTTTTCTCAGGTCCACAACCAGTGACTCCCTCGATTGGTCAAACCCAACAGCCAAGGTACGCGCACACCTGCCTGCACACAACTGCATGCACACGCATGCATAGCAAGCGTGCAAGGCCATTCTTGACATCGTTGTGCGCTTTCCCATACGCCACAGCCGCATGTGCTCAGCAACACCTGACCACCACCACCACCACACACACACACACACACACACACACACACACACACACACACACACACACACACACACACACACACACACACACACACACCCTCGTATGTATGTCAGGCGTTGTTTGACTTTGAGGGCACGATGCCGTGCGACCTGTCCTTCCGAAAGGGGGCGGTGATTGAGGTGCTGACGCGGACAGACACGCACAACGACTGGTGGGAGGGACGCATCTTTGACCGCGTGGGCATTTTTCCCGCCAACTACGTCAAGATGCAGTCGTGATCACGGCTGCTGCTGCTGATGATGGTGCTGCTGCTGACGATGATGATTTGAGAAGGTTTCAACGCCGACCTTGGACGGCACAACAACTGCTCGCTGGCGTGACCTTGTGTTTAATTGCAAATAAACTACCTGCCACACCATCGCGTCTGGAATGATGTTGGAGTGTGTCGTGTAATGTAACAACAAGATGGCGTTTTGAAAGTCATGCCCGCACGCACACCAATCAACGTGCGACCTGACGCAGTCGCAACCAGCACATCAGCCGCCTCAAACGCCACAGCGCGCGTGCACACATCAGAAATGTAACTGACAAAGGTACAGGAATGGCGATGAGCTGATCCAATCCATCTGCAGTCTTCCATTCAGCACAGGAAGGGGCCGTATTGGGTGGTGGTGTCGGTGCTGGTGTTGCTATTGCCAGCGTCACCGTGTGCTCCGGTAGTGAAACGCTTGTCTCTCTGAACACGACGTTCACCGTGCAGTCCAGCCTGTCGTCCCCTTCTCAAACACACACACACACACAGCAACAACAAACACACGCACCTTCACTGGTTGATCCACCTCTCTAATCTCCCAGCATCATCATCATCATCATCGTCGTCGTCATCATCATCATCGTCGTCGTCGTCATCATCACCTCTTCATCGTCACCCCTTGATCACCATCACCACGACTGCTGTGCATGGCTGGGAGGATCCATCGCACCCGTCGCTGTGTTGCGCGCGTGTCAATCAGATGGTTCTTTTCTCTCGCCGCTGGCGAGGTCATGAGCGCATGCATTGGCTCTCCCGATAGCAACTGGGAGCACCGGCTTGGCGATGTGTCACTGCACGCTGCCGCTAACTCTGCGACGCCCGCGCTTGTCGCTGTGGGCCAATCCTGTACACACACAGCCACACACACACACAGCCACACACACACACACACACAAAAAAAAAAGCGACGTGGCGTGAAGGGCACGAGATGGGCGCACAAGGAATCATTTGTCGGCAACACATATGTACACGTTCACACATATGCACATGCACACACTCGCAACCACTTACAAAACAAACATCCACTCGCAACCACTCACGAAACACGCGTACACTTGCAACACTCGCAGGCACTCACAAAACACGCACACACTCGCAAGCACTGACCTTAATAACGAAGATGAAGGTTGCGTGCTGGCAGGACACGTGACTCCCAGCAACCAGCAGCGGCATCTTGTCGTTGAAGCAGTGGTGCAGTGGATCAAGTGCCCCTGAAGACACAGTAACGACAGCAGCGATACAGCAAGCGATGAGTTGCTCGTGCACATGCACGTGCGACCAAAGGTAAGCACGGAAAGAAGCATGCCTGTTTCTGATTCGTGCGCTGATGCGGGGATGACGACACCACGTGCAATCAGCACAGCAGAATACACTCATTCATGCCCCCCCTTGCTTCGCACGCACGCAGACACCAAGCCATACATTCACACTGCGTGCAGGAAAGACCGAGGTGTGGGTGGAAGGGGTGTCTGCACCTTGCTCTTCTGGTAGGTTCTCCATGACAATCACAGCTGTCGGGCTCTGCTCAAGCACGGGCTTGATCTGACCGATTACCCTTGGAAACCAATCGCAACCATGACATATGCGATGCAAGCAGTGCCATGCAGTGCAAAAATCCGCGCAAATGACAAGGACGCAAGGCGGCGTTACTATGTTCTTGCATGTGTGTGTTTGTGTGTTTGTGTGTGTGTGTGTTTGTGTGTGCGTGTGTGTTTGTGTATGTGTGTGTGCGTGTATGAGTGCGCACACTTGGGTGCTGTGTGCGTACCACTGTCGCCAGGATGGGCCATCGTTTGCGCTTCGCTCACGCCACACGTTGCCTGCACGAAAATCACAGCGTACGCCACGTTTGGATGAGTTGTCGCTCCTGCAAGTGCATACACACACACACACACACACACACACACACACACACACACACACACACGACACCACCGACTGATTATGCCGCCTCAACCAAGTATCGCTAATTTTATCATTGACGTGAAGATGCCCGGATACTGTCTTCCGGTAGGGTTATGCATTCGCGTCCCGTTTTTCCCTTTTCTCTTATTTTCTTTATCTTTCATTTTTCCTCTCCACACACACACACACACACACACACACACACACACACACGCAGACACACCGACACGCGCGCGCACACACACACACACACGCACGCACACAAACACACACACGCACGCACACGCACATCCAGCAAACATGCCTGATGCGCACATCCAGCAAACATGCCTGATGCGCACCATCAACTGTTTGCGTGGTTTGTCCGGCTGTCAATACGCGGAGCAGTTCCCGGCCAAGCTCATCATCTGGGCCAACAATGGCCACTGTCGTTGCCTTGCCGCTGGTGTTCTGTGCAGTAACAAGGGAGGTTTGCATGAGCAGCAGCCCCAACGACCTCATGACGATGCCAGCGTGAACCCGGCCCTTGGTCACACACGCAGCGCAAGCATACACATACACACACACACACAGAAGCATGCGCACGCACGTACGATTCATACACACGCACGTTTCATGCACACACCTCTCCACTGATGAGCTTGAGCAAGCTGGCAAGCTGCCGGTGGTGGGAGTAATGTGGGTACCTACAATGCAGTACAATGAGGGAAAAGTCAAGACCCAGCACTTGTCAGTGGTGAAAGGGTGAACTGTCACCTCACGCAAGCAGCTGTGCAGTTCCAAATAAGCTGGCCGTCGCATATTGCGTGCTGTACATTGTTTCTTCAAGGAAAGGACTTACTTGGCGGAAAATGTCTCAAGTGGAGACGGCCCGACTTGCTGCAAACCTGAGCTCGATCCCACATCCTGTCCTCGACGAGGGCACGCACTCAGAATGCACCGTGTGGCAATCAGGGCAACTACGATTCCACCCATCAGCCATCGCCAGTTGACATCCCTGATGCTGACACTGTTGATGCTGTGGTCACTGTTGTTGTTGTTATTGTGGTTGTTATTGTGGTTGTTGTTGCTGGTGGTGTTGCTGGTGGTGGTGCTGCTGCTCAGAATTTTCCTTGGAGAAATGGATCTTGGCCTTTGCCGTCGAGGCAGCGCCACGTCCTGGCTTGGCTGTCGTGCGGGCGTCTGCTGCATCGCCGCTGCGGTTCCTTCCTCCCCTTCCCCCCATGCGTGACGCACCAGCACCATCGTTGGAGCTTGTTTTGATTACTTACTGTGTCCTTTGTTTGTTGGCCAGTTGCGAGAAATTATTTACTTGTTCTGAAGCAGAATTCGATGCCCAATTAAACATCGCAAGGTGCTGTGGATTGTTTGCCACATCTTCATAAGAATCGGAACGCACACACCCTCACACCTTCACCCGCTCCCCGCCCGCTTGCTTGCTTGGCTCCCGCGGGAAGACGCAGCCGTATACGTACGTACGTACACATAACAACAATCAGACAAGGAACGAAGCGCGTGACAAGAGGAGGCCAGCAAGCCCCTGCTCGAACACCAACCAGCAGAGCAGCAGCAGACTGAACAGCATATCAGCGCATCACGTGTCTTGCCTCTGATTCCAACGTAACAAAGCGTCACAGCTTTTTGAGGTGTGTTTGTGTTGATTGGCACTTCTTGTAATTAAGCACCCCACACGATTGTGTTTCTTCACGAACCGAGCACGCAGTCTTCCCCCAGATCTGCTGCTCACCTCCCAAGCTCGTGTGTGTGTGTGTGTGTGCGTGCGTGTGTGTGTGTGTGTGTGTGTGTGTGTGTGTGTGTGTGTGTGTGTGTGTGTGTGTCGCTCGTCAACCTCTCCGTTTGGTGCTGCTCTCCTTCCAGCCGTCTGCCGCCCACCGCCCAACGATGTGTGAGTGCTCGGGTTCTCGTCGGGAAGAGAGCAGCAGGGTACTTGCTCATCATCATCATCATCATCATCATCATCATCATCATCATCATCATCATCATCATCATCATCATCATCATCATCATCATCATCATCATCATCATCATCATCATCATCACACGGCTTGTGTGTTGCCTGCTCTCAATTGTCAACTCTCGATCCTCACTCCTCAACCAACCGCCATCGCCTGTTGGGCTTGTTAATACTCGGGACCTGCGCAGCCACCACAGGCAACATGCGGCCTGAGCGAGGCCTTGCCGTATTTGCCCAGAAGGCTCAGACTTCCCCGGTGAAACCTGGCGCAAAAAAGGAGCAGACCTCTGCGACCCAGGTCACCCCCACAACACCTACATATCACACATGCCTTGCTTCTACCACAACCCCATGCACACAAGCACACGCAAGCACACGCAAGCACACACAGGCACCCACAAGCACACACAAGTACACACAAGCACACACAAGTACACACAAGTACACACACACACACACACACATGCATTCCTGAAGCGCAACATTCGCAGCTGATCCTGCTCTCATGGAATGTTGATCTGTTGCCACGCAACTGCATGTGCTTGGGTGCGAGACAGGAGGGTCGCCCAGCTACCGGTCGGCGGCCCCTTCCACGGGGATTGGTTCGCGAGGTGTTCTGCGTGAGGGCTGGCGACAAGGAACAGGAGAAGGAGCTGGCCAAACACATGAAGATGCATTATGAACCCTGGGTGATTCGCCCAGACCCGCTCACAGACGAGCCCCGCCTTTACCTTGAGCCCCTCCCAAAGTTCAAAGGTACAAAACCACGCGCACTGACGCGTGTGCATATGTGTAGAAGCGCACAGACGCGCATTCATGTGTATATGTGTGCGCGTGCCAGCGCACTCGCGGATGAGTGCTAACATATGCGCATATGCGCACGGACATGTATCAGTGTGTCTGCTATGTAGCAGATGGTCTGAGAACTTCTGTGTTTCCTGTCTGTGGTTGTTGTGGCCAGTGAAGCTCTGATGAAAGAAGCTGTTCACATGCACCCACGCACACGACTCTCAGCTCAAATTCCGCCTTTTATCGTGTTGCTCGATCTCGTCACCACCCGCAGATGTGTCGCTGTTCCAGAAAAAGCCACTGTTGCTGGCGAAGCTCCAACAATGCACGCTTGTCTTTGACTTTACGAAGCCCAGCACAGCGACGGTGCGCAACGTGTGACTTGTGGCTGTAATGTTACCAAGCATTTCGACACACACGCACTCGCTCACACTCTCACTCACTTACTCACACACTCACTCACTTACTCTCACACTCACTCACACTTACTCTCACACACTGGCACTGTTGACCGCGCTCATGATCCAGAACCGCAAGCTGAAGACCCGAGCACTGACGGACATCTGTGCATCGTTTGACAAGATCGAGGACAATGTCAGAGAGGAGGTGAGCACGTACATATTTTGACAATCCCCTGCTGGCGTTATCCCGAGGATGGACACAGATCACTGCGTGTAGCTGTGTTTGGGTGTGCGTGTGAGCGAGGCACAGGGCGAGAAGCGCGCACAACACAAATCGCACTTGCTTCGCTGCATTGTTGGTGTTGTGAACTCGTTGCGCTCACACGGATATCGCGAATGGTGTGTGCTTTTTGCACGTGCCCTGCCCCGCCCTCTTGCAAACGCATCGTATGTATCGATGCTAGGGAGTCATACCGAGGTTTATTGAAGTGTTTGAGTCCAACTGTATTCGCCGACTGCCGCCGCCTTCCACCAACGCCAGCGGCGCTGATCCAGACCTTGACGAAGACACGCACGCCTTGGAGCCTGCATGGGCTCACCTCGAGGTGCAACACATGTCTGCATATGTGCATGTCCCTGCCTGTCTGGATGCGCGTGTGCGTGTGCGCATCACTCTCCCCCTCTCTCTGTCTGTCTTTGTCTCTGGCTATCTCTGTCTCTATTTGTGTGTGTGTGTGTGTTTGTGTGTCTCTGTCCCGCTCATGGCTCCATTCCACGTCTTGCCCGCTGCTGTCTTGTGACTCCACTCACAAGCATGGCCTGAAGTACACCTTTGCTCACCAATGGTTCATGCCCCTATAGCTGGTCTACACCATGTTCATCAAGCTGATGAAGTCCCCCGTGCTGACAACGACGCATGCAAGGACGTTCTTGTCGCGGCAGCTACTCCTGCGGGTACAGCGCCCTCTCATGTGCATGGTGGTCCTGGATTCATGTGTTTTGCACATTCCGTCGCATCAGGCATCAGGAACAAAGCGCAACACAATAGTCCACTCATAGCCTCACCACACACGACATTACCACACTACTACACCACATCATGCACCCCAAACCCAATACATCAACCACACCCATCATGGCCACCTTACCGCCACGTCATCGCCCTCCTTCCCTCCCTGCACCGACTTGCGTTGCGCTGTAGTTGCTGGACATGCTTGACTGTGAGGACCCGCGGGAACGGGCACGCCTTGGCGTTGTGCTGCACGTCATCTACGCAAAAGCCATCGACTGCCGAGCGTTCCTGCGCACTTCCATCTACAACATATTCTACAGGTGCGTGTGTACACGTCGTGTGCGGCCCGCGAGAGATGTGGAGTGTGCGCGTGCGCGTGAGTGTGTGTGTGTGTGTTCGTACTGTTGTACGTGTGTGTGTGCGTGTCTGTTGCTGCACGGCCATACGACCGAATGCTATCCGTGTCTATATTGTGTGTGAGGAGCATCCAGCCGTACGGCCTTGAAACCAGGTTGCGCTGGTGCATACCCCTATGCCCACTTCTCCAAGTGGCTCACCCCATGGCATTGGTGTTTGTCTTTACCCTCACCCTTGCACCGCTTCACCCTGGTACGCTGTTCCCATGGCTGTTCTTGCCACGGCCCTTCCAACCCAATGCCACACCACACCGGCGCAGGTACATGTACGAAACAGAGCGCTTCAATGGCATGAGTACGCTGCTGCTGTTCATGCAGAAGGTCATCAACGGGTTCACCCGCCCCGTTCGTGAAGAGCACATCCACACGTTCCAGCACATTCTCCTGCCGTTGCTCAAAGTTCGCCGCCTCAACACCGTTTTCCAAGAGGTGACATGACGCGACACACGACAAACGGCACACGCACGTCTGCACGTTCGTCCATGCACACTGTGTGATCACTTGCACGTTGGCTCTGCTTCCTGTTTCCGGTTCGCCACACCCTCACCCGTGTTCCCGTTGCTTTCTCTGTGATTGTTCCGTGTGTTGCACGCCGATGCTTGGCGGAGGACAGTTGACGATATGCATCATCAGCTTTGTGGACAAGAAACCCGAGCTTGCGGACGTGGCGATCAAGTATGTGCTCAAGCACTGGCCGCACACGCCCAGCTTGAAGCAGCTGCTCTTCCTGGAGCTGGCACACGTGCTTGTGCTGAAAATGAACCACGGCACATTCAAGAACGTAGGTCGTGCGTGCATCTTGCAAGCTCGCTGTTGTCGAGGGGTATCCTCTGCTCTTGACCTGGAGAGTAGCTATTCGATTACCACCCCTTGCAGCCCTCTCGCGCCCTTCTCATAGCCCAACCCCGCTCTCCGCTGTTTGGCTTTCCGGCTGTTTGACTTGGCTGCCACTGAACTGAGTAGAACGTGACCGCCATCATGAAGCGCCTGGCAACTTGCATGGAAAGCTACCATTTTCAGGTACCTGGCTCATCCTTGCGTTTGATGAACACCCATAAGCTCGCAGCTCGGACGCTGTCCCCTTTTCCTTGGCCCCAAGGCCCCGCCATCATCACACCCGATTTGCTTATCCATTCCAACCTCACCTTGGGCCACCTCCCTCCATTCCGCTTTGTGCTACCCTTCAGGTGGCTGAGCGCGCCATGTTCTTCTTTGACGACCCACGCGTGTTGACGTTCGTGTCCGACTGCTCCCGGCGCTGCGCGTCCATCTTGCTTCCCGTCCTCCTCAAGGTGCGCCCAAGAGCCCGGCGACAAGTGAATGTGACTCAATAACGAGGTGGAGAGATATGTGAGTGTGCGCGTGTGAGTGGGTGTGTTTGTGTTTGCGTGTGTGAGTGTGTGCGTGTTGTTGTTGTTGTTGTTGTTGTTGTTGTTGTTGTTGTTGTTGTTGTTGTTGTTGTTGTTGTTGTTGTTGTTGTGTGTGCACGCTGCTGCTCACAGTGTTGCGCGTATGCGCGTGCATTGTGCATTATGCATTCCGCAATGCAGGTGTTGCAGCAGCACTGGTGCGAGAAGGTCAAGTTTATCGCCATCCAAGTGACACGCGTGCTGCAGTCTGTGGATGCCATGGCTGTACAGAAGTGTGCACATGAGATTGAAGTGAAGCAAGAACAGGCAAGTCGGCGTCTTCTCTCTGAAAGGCAGATCAGCACCCATCGAGGGCGTAGCCAACCGCATGTGCAGTTGTTCGTGCTGCTCCGTCTAAGTCCCTGTGAGAATGTATACTTGGCTCTTCTGAGAGGAGCTTCCATGTGTGTGTGTGTGTGTGCGAGTGTGTGTCTGGGTTCGTGAGATTGAGATGCTTGTCAGTGCACAGCGGCAGGGGTTGCACCACCGCGCAATCATGCATGCTCACCTTTGTGTGTCGACATCGGCACTACGCTCACACCACGTATGCTGTTTAGGTGAAAGAGGCACAGCAGCGTCGCCAGGACCGATGGCAACGACTTCACGTCCTCGCTCAGGAGCGGGCTTCTGCAAGGCGGCTGAACGTTCACCTCACACCCTACACAGGTTCTCATTTGCAGTGGGCACAGGGACAGGGCAAAGCGTGTATGTGCCTGTGTGCTTACACATGTCCGTATGTGTGCTGTCTTTTTCATTGCTTGTGGTCTTGTCTTCAATTGTTGCCCCTGACTGCGCTGCAGCCTTGCAGTTTCCGCAGGCAGCAGAGTACGTGCGCCTTCTCACCACGAAACACTTGCCCACACCACATTGCCTCCGGCTACCCGCTGGTCCTCTGCACTCAGCACCGGTCATGGAGGATTGCCACGACCGCCAAATGCTGCACAGCATCTCGGATCTTTCCATCGCAGACGAGCACGAGACCTCACCTCCTGATGCCCCATCAGCATTGGCGACAACGCAACCACCACCCACACTGATTGTTGCCTCAAGTCCTTCCGTGAACTTCCCCACAACCACAGGCACAAATTCAAGTACTCCACTTTCTCCCACCACAGCTGCGCTAAGGCCCTTTGTTCTGTCCACCACACCAACACCTTCCTCTCCCACCCACTCTTCCTCCCCGATCCTTTCCCGTCAGCCTTTTCAGCCTGAAGCTGATCCTGAAGAAGAAAGGAGTTCTTAAGTACTGTACGCGCTCACTAGGACCTCGAGGTCATGAAGTCAGGAAGTCATGAGGTTCTGCTTCTTCTTCTTCTTCTTCTTCTTCAGTTCTTCCGTTCTTCTGTTCCGTTCTTCTGGTCTTCTTTGGGGAATGTGGGGCCATCCGTGCCCAGTCGGCAACAGAGAACCTCACAGTTGAACAGTGTAACAGATTCACAGAGCACTCATACACTCCACTCTAAGATTCTGCGACTCTTCTACTCTTCGACTCCTTCTTTTCTTCGACTCGACTCCAGCAGCTGGTGGCGGCGCCCCAGAGCAGCACTGTCCTGAGTTTTGCGTGTTGTGTTTGTGCGCTTGCCTCACTGATTTCGTTTTTCTTTGTTGTGATTTGATGTGGATTTAGCGGGCACCAACTGTCGATTTCTGTAAAAGATATTCTAAGAAAATCTTGGGGCGTGGTGCACAACACCATCCGGTTGGGTCTCAAGCAGAAAAAAAAAAAAAAAACTCCAGCTGCACTGGTGCGCGCACAACAAGCCAGAGAAAGAAGAGGAGCGTGTGTGTGTGGGAACAAAAGCACAACAACAGCACCACCACCCCACCCTTCAAAAGCCCGCCACACCCTCACGCGGAACGGCCAGCAAAAGCAGCACAAAACGCTTTTGCTTTCGACGTTGCGGTCCATGCTGTGCCGTGTGCGTCGTCACACACCCCACCCACCACCTTACCAAGAAGGCCAACCCCTCGCCTTCTCTCCTCTTCTTCCTTGCGAACAACATCTGCTCCCCACCTTGCCAACCCCCCGTCTCCCCACGAAGTAGTGTACATTCTCTTCCGTGTTGAGTGGAACGGTTGTGTGTGGCACACTCGATTTTGCTTCCATCTAACCCAAGGGGGTGTTTGTCCTCGATCGAGCGAAAGCAGCTTGCAAGCAGGCGATCAGCCCAAGCTTGCACGACGAAGCTGTGGTGGATTTTGGACCATCTACCGCTCCTTGTGTGCACACGTTTGTGTGTGTGTGCGTGTGTGTGCGGACAAGCGCTGTTGCAGTGGGTGTGCCAGTTGTGGTGCGCTCAAATCAACTACCACCGCTGTGACCAGGACGTGTCCTGGTACTTGCAGAAAGCCGCCAATTTGGCAGCCAACAGCGGACACCTTTCACCATGGCCAGAATCTTCACCGCCAAGGTGGCAGTCTTTGCGGCACTCACTGGTATGTGACAATGTTTGCTTCCGTCAATGCACGCCCGCTCCCGCAACGCAGCCATGCACGGTCATCAACACAAGACACACACACACACGCACACGCACACACGCGTACACACACACACACACACACATACACACTCACACACACACACACACACACACACACACATACACACACGCACACACACACACACACACACG